CTGTCTGTGTAGGGATCGGAGCTCTCACTGTCTCTTATACACATCTAGATGTGTATAAGAGACAGGTACCTGAACTTTACAGCAGTTCTAAGTCACTGCATGACTGATTTCATCATGCTATGCTTGATATTTTACCTCTTCACATGTTTGTATGTTTTTCTCTGAACTGCCAGACATTTCAAATTGTTTTTCAACTTCATTGCATTCATTCATATTTTTCTCTTCATGGATAATATTAACAGGAAACAAATTTAGATGACAATTTTCAATAACAGAATATTCTGAAATTAAGCATGTTTCATTAGGTCTGTCTTTACTTTCTTCATTGTTGGAAACATCACTGCAAGTGTCTAAAATATATATAAAGAGATAAAAAAAAATCAGAGCAATCTGCTGACGCTCAATATTATATAAGTAAAGTAAATAAGATTACTGTGCTGTATTAGTTATTGAAAAAACTTTTTTTGTAATGGGAGGCCATGTTAACCTGCTCATTGGTGACACTGCTAAAACTGTGCCAGTCAAATTAATAACAGACGCTAGATATCAATTCATGTCATACGCAAGAAGAAAGACTTGCAGTACAGAATAAACTGAACTACAAAAAAGTATAATAATTTTTTTTTTAATGCTGTAGGGCCAAAAATCAATGGGATGGTAAATTATAGAGTATTTCTCTACTTTGGAAAATCTTTGTCTATTAAGTAAGATACTATCTAACTTTCTGTTGAAAATTAGTATGCGAATTTCTACATTTATTGTGCTGATGTTGCTAAATCTGTGAGTTTCTCCTTTTTTTATGCGGGTCATTAGGGCCTTGGTGGAGTAGTACCCTTACAGGGGCGGATTTGGGGGCGCCGGCCCCCTCTTTTTGGGAGGTTAAAAAAGAGGGAAAAAGAAAAAAAAAAAAGAAAAAGATAAAAATGATAGCCCAGAATGCCTCAAATGTTATTCTAGAACACAAAAATTTCGCAGGGGCATGCCCCGGACCCCCTGGGGCAGTGTTGTCTCAATCGGCCCAAATTTCAGCCCCTCCTTTCGGCCCCAACTTTTGGACATCTCTGGATCCACCCCTGCCTTACACCGTCGTGCATAGTTTTCTTAGGGTTGGGGTAATATGCCGATCATTAGAACCTTAGTGAAGTACAACCACTACAGGCTGTGATGCATAGTTTGATTAGGATTGGGGTATGCAGGTCATATCTACTTTAGTAGAGCAACATCCCTGTGAGGCACAGCTACCATTGTATTGCTTTTTTGTGTGTGTTTCACTGTGTTTGTGTGAATATTGGCCCTAGATGGTACCTGTACTAACAGAAATTAAATTTAAAATTGAATCCGTACTCGCACGAATAAGCGCCAGGGCATTTAAAATATTTTTTGCACTTTCTAAGGGGCGCCTATTCAAACTGGGTGCTTATTTAAATGGGCGCTTATGAAACAGAGTGGAAATTGAAGGGGCGCTATGGAAATAGATGAAGAGTTCTTATGGGAACTTATTAAATTCAAGAGGCACTTTTTGGATTAAAAAGGATTATATAAGGACATTACGAATGGTGGTTAGGCGGAAAAGAAAGTCGTCTAGAGAACATGGCTCATGACATGAATGCTGTGAAGATTTACATAACAGCAAAATAGCAGATGCAATTAGTGGTGGTGGGTAGTGGTTAGCTTGTTGGCCATTGGATGACAAATTACTATGTAAGAGGAAAGTTGGAAATATACTGTCTGTGTAGGGATCGGAGCTCTCATCTGCCCGAGAGAAATCCTCATTTTGATGTTGACCTATAGAAGAATGTGATTCCACTCTGCAGCTCAAATCATGCCAAAACCACAGTCCCAGAATTGATTGAATTATTGACTTGCTAAAAAGAAAATCTTATGATATTATTTTAGGAGGCGCGGGCACTTAAGGAAATTTTCATGTTAGTAGGGGCGATTATTCGAGAGGGGCACTTATTCAAATGGGGTGCTTATTCGTGGTTTGTCTTATTGAATAAGACAAACCACACTGAGACTAAAATTTATAAATGTTCATAAATTAATTATTTTCTAAAATCTTTCAAATTATATTTATGTTTATGGTGATCAAATCCATAATGTACAGAACTCAACCTGTAATGTACTGTAGTTGGATATATGTACAGCAATTAATACTGAAGCCATTCTTTAATAAAAAAAAAAAAAAAAAAAAAAAAAAAAAATTGGTTTATTTATTAATTTGGTTAATTGAAATAAAATAAATATTAAATAAAACAAAAAATGTATTATGTTCTCATTCAATCCATATTAATAAGGAACAATGTTATAAATTACAAACCTATTTCAAATTCAATTTCAGAATTCTTTTCCATATTATGTTGCACTATTTTTTCAAATTCTGCCATAGCCTGCTAATTCTTTCAAAGACAATTATTGATATATCTGGATATTTTCAGATTCTGGAATAAAAAAATAATTTAATGTGCACTAGGATCAAAACAAGCAAAACAGAGTTCTGTAAACTTCTAGACCTTCACATTTTTTTTGCGTATCACTACTCTCTGTAAGTTTGCTAGGCCTCTTCATCACATCATTTATAATAGTGTGGAATTTTATCCGAAAAATATTAAACATTTCCCCATGCTAAGCCTGCTATGTGTATTAAAATGATGCTTCACAATGCCAATGGGATGGCAGGGACTTGCACAACAGCAACAGATAAAGTGGATCAAATTTAATGAGATAAAAGATGAGATAAAAAAAATCACATTTCATACTCAGAAATACAGGTCTACTGTAATGTAAATACTTAAAATAACTAACCCAAAAATATAAAATCTAAAGATTAAAACGTCTTACAACAAAAAAATTATACCAGAGTAGGACTACTTAAGAAATACTGACTACGATGAATCCATTTTTGGTGTAAAAGAAAAAAAAAACATTAACATTACACAATTTGATAAGCAACAATACATTTATACTATTGTTGTGAATTTTTTAGTTGTGAGCGTTTCACCCAAGCATTCATGATGCATTTTTACAGAAATTATCAAAAATAGAGGTATCACAAATATTAGAAGACTGAATAATTTAAATAATTTAATTTTAATATCATCATTTGTTGTTGAAAAAAGTGTCCATGTATCATAGTCGTTACAGAGGTCATTTTCAAGATTTGTTAAATGTTGTTTTCTAATGATATTGTAAGTGGGACAATTTAGTAAAAAATGCTTGACATCTTCAATTTCTCCCTTTTCAGTTCTGTGCACTGTAAGTAATAAAGGGTTTTTAATTTTTAATTGCATGGATGAGGATCCATTTATTGAATTATTATTTTATTGTTATTATTTGTTCCCTCATTTTTGAATGACTTTTAAATTTTGATTTTTATATTATTTTTATATTACCTAATTCTTTTAATTTTTTTCATTAATTATCAATGGTCTTTATACACATTTTCATTCTGCTTTTTATATAATTTTAATTGTTTAGTCTTTATACATATGTAAATTTAACCAAATCAAATGTTTAAATTGTTGATTGATTGATCATTGATTTTTGTTTGTCATTTTTTACACATTTGTAAACATAAATAGAATTGTTTTTATGTCCAAGTGCCCCCATCGGGGCAATAGACACTATGTCATGATGTAGCAATTAAAGATGGCAGAAAAGGGTAAATCCGGTGGAGGAATGACTACTACATTTAGTTAACCATCATTTAAAGGACGCCTTCTAGAATATGGTAGTACTTTTCGAGATCAACGACATAACGTGGTGACTCCAAGAGTTAATATTTTTTAGTGCAATATAATACAGTGGGCCTAGTAGTATACAGAATATTGTTATGAAAGACAATTTTCACGAAAAATTCAGATACACTACAATGACAAACACATCTGCATATTGAAGAACATAAGATTAAATTCAAAAATAAAAACTCCTGTATAAGGCAGTAGACACATGCTCCCACTGGGAGCCTATTTTTAACTGCGACCTGAATATAAGTTTGACTTGGATTGATATCAGCTAGAACAATGAATACACTACAGTAACTTTACAGCAGTTCTAAGTCACTGCATGACTGATTTCATCATGTCACGCTTGATTGCACTCACAAAGAAACCTTGTCATCCCGGTTGGACAGGAAATGACTGCGACACAAGTAAGCATGTTACCCATTGCTTCATATCAATCCTATAAGGTCACATGACTAACCTGGAAAAACCCATTTCTATTTTAGCAGACACTTCATGCACACCTAAAACTTAACAGAGAATTTTAAGGTAAATATTATATTAATTTATGTTGTTCAGTGCAATAGATCCAATCAATATCTAATAAGTTAAAATACTGAACCAAATTATTATGTTATCTGAGATGAAAGCACTGGCATATTATGAAAACATTTCAGATCAACAGATTTGAAAAAATGTTGATAGAGGTATACAGGCCTACTAAATATTAAACAACGTGTAAGACATAAATCAGGCCTGTACACAGGTGTTTATTGGGTAGGTGCAAATTTGTGGAAAGTGGACCAAAATGACTATGGGCTACCAAGCGACAGAACCTACATCTAGATGTGTATAAGAGACAGTCTAGAACACAACAATTTCGCGGGGGTATGCCCCCTGGACCCCCTACAACAGTGTTGTGTCAATCGGCCCAACTTTCGGCCATACTTCCGGCCCCCACTTTTGGACATTTCTGGATCTGCCCCTGAGAAGCCCCCTCTTTACTCTGCAAAAGTAGCTTTGAAAAGAAGCGCATCCAAAGGCTAAAAAAAAAACAAATTAAATAAATAATTAAAAAAATGAAAAGCCCAGGGTTTCAATTCGAGGTTTTATGGTATTACAGAAGTCTTGTAAACACCAGTACATTTTACATAAACCACGCCAAATTATTATCAGCGGTAAACGTAACTTTATAATCGACATGCGCAGTAGCATTTTCAGTCGCTTGCCAGTTGCTTTGAATTGCTACAATATAGAACATGGGCGACTGAAAGCAACCGAGGGCAAATGACAATTTCAGTTGCTTTCAATTGCAAAGTGCGCTTATGTCAGCCTCAGTCATGTGACTCTCACTTGCTTGCCAGTTGCTGGCAACTTGCCAAAGATCAGTTGATGTCAGTTGAGTTGAGTCACAAGGGCGCATAAGTCCAGCTTAAGAATATGTATATTTGCATTGTCACAGAGGTTAGATTAAAATATGGTAGCTGAAATTTGTGCAAAAAATTATAAATACCAATGTTAAAAACAACATTATCACAGCAAAGCAGCGGTAGGACAAGAATTTTTCTAACGAAGGGTCTGACGTGACGATAAAAAGGGTCCAAAAAATCAGCCACTGCACAAAAGCAGAGATGGAAGCTGGGAGTGCATACATCACCCCATTAATTTTTAAAATGCTCTCATAGATTAGAAGGTTAAAAGAATACAAAAAATCAATAATTGTATCAGCTATTTGTAAGAAGTCAACATTAAAACAATACATAGAATTGTACCTGTGTGTCTGAACATTTCTAAACTTTCCTTTAGAATCAGTACAGTAGTACTATAGTATTTAATTATTGCTATAATTTACACTACTCAAATAATCGACCAGTAATTCAGCGCTGCCCTTTTATACTTTTAAAGACCATGTTGTACGTTAACGCTGCCGATTGTAATTACAGCTGTTGACACAATTAATGTCGAATATTGAATCCCGACACAATGGTGTGCATTTCGATATATATATACTGTAGTACATAATAATATACTATCTTGTAATTACAGTAATAGTCAATTACGGTAGTTCACTATGTATCGACTGTATACACTTTCCTCTTGACCGACTACCAAGAGATCGTGGCCTACAATAACCATGAAAAAAATTAGTTTAGTTTCTAAACTAAGTCCTCCATGCCCTAACTTCATATTGCACAAGCAACGAACACCACACCACATTCGCGAATGGTGAGAAGAAGTGTCAAGCATGCATGCATTATTCATGTTATCAATTCACCAAAATGACCTTAAATAGTGCCCTCTATAATTTCTGCCTGGACTGTATGGGGAAAAAAATAATGCAGCCAGGGCCACCCTTCAAGAAGAAAAACGACAATATGCCAAGAAGAAAAACCACAATTTGCCAGGAAGAAAAAAAATTTATATGTATTTTGCACAAACTAGTAGACACTAAAATTGAAACCCCTAAATTCCCAAATTTTTCAGGGGCTTCACCTAATGGACCTCGCCCCCCCCCCCCACCAGACCTCTTTCGGAACATTTTAAGTGACACTCGACCACTCTCACTTTGCTCTTGACAGCAAAATCTTCCATCTTCTTGGGGAAAAGAACCTAAGGGCCATGTCCACCTCATGCTTTGGGGACCTCGCACATCCCATCAGGCAAATCTTGGAGCCACCCCTGTGAACTTTTAAACTAAATATAAATCATCAAAAGTAACTTTTTAGGAAAAAAATTTGTTAGGAGCAATACTAAACAATGTACCATCATGCCATTTATTTCAAGTTTTATGCTTGGCTACACACTATCAAGGCTAGAAAGCCAATGGCCAGGTGAGACTGTAGGAAAATGTCCTGTTCAGGGGCAGACTTAGAGGGGGCCGACTCGATCATCCCAAATTTTGGCCCCCTTTTTAGGGCCCCCATTTGGACATCTCTGGATCCGCCCCTGCTGTTTTCTTGTTTAAAGTTTATTACTGGTGATAACTGGTGATTATGTAACATTTCCCCATAAACACAAATTACATCTTAGAGTTGAGGGAGTACGATGATGACCATTTTAGTATTGACCAGGAAAATTGATGTTGTTGTGTGTTGTCTTCCAAGTCCCATATATATTTTGAAAGTGGTATTTACTTTGCAATTTAAACTATGACTTGCGATGATTAAATTTGGTTTTTGAATTAAAATTTCAATTTGGCTCATGTAACACTTGACTTCATTTCGTGTGAATACTGTTGCTTATATATTCCACTACACATGTAAGTAAACCGTCTCAGACATGCAGCTAATACACATGCACAGGTCCTGTATTGATCACTGGACAACTAGCCACCATGACCAGTAGTTTGATTATATACTCAGTAGCATACATTTATATATAACTGACTTAATAAAGCAATTATTGTCAAGTTATTTCAGACCCTATACAAAATAGGAGATAGAAGCCATTATTTTCTATAGGGTCATCAGACTATAATTGCATGACATTATTATTTATCCAGTTCAAATGATAATAATTTATATCTATTCAAGATGGCTACCAGTAAGTTGAATCAGTTTCTGGAACATGTTGATGAGAAGGTCTTAGAGTGTACCATCTGCTTTAAGAGACTTCAAAATCCAAAATCCCTCAACTGCCTCCATAGTTTCTGTTTGGCATGCCTGGTAGATTGGGTTAAGGAGAAGGGTAAGCTGACTTGCCCAACTTGCTCAAAATCATATCCCATTCCAAAAGGAGGGCTTGAGAAGCTTCCACCAAATACCTTTCTAAATAACTTATTAGAAACTATCGAACAATTTTCACACAGTGATCACACGAAATGTAGTGTTTGTGAAAAGGAAAGACAAGTAAAATACTACTGCCAGGATTGCAGACAGTATTTGTGCTCTACTTGTAGTGATCAACATAAGAGGTATACACTCTTTGTAAATCACAAGTTACATTTACTGGAGGATGTGCAATCAATGAGTCCCTCTGAGATGACTTTGTTACATCCGCCTCTGTGTTCACATCACAGTAAACCTTTGGAGTTCTACTGCACAGATTGTAAAACTCCAATCTGTGTGAATTGTATACTTATGGACCACAATGCATGGGATGGAAAACACAAATCAATCAACATTTCAGACGCATTCCAAATATTAAAAAAAACTTCAGCCACCTTGGAAAAATCTGCCCAACACTTCATAAACAAATTAGAAGGCGGTCTCAAAGCTGTTATCCACAATGCTACAAAATTACAACAAAATAAAGACACATGTTTAATAGATATAGACAATCATGTAGAAGAAATATTCAAAAAAGTAAAAGAGAATAGAGACAAAATGAAAAATGAAGTAGAAACAATCTACAAACGAAAAAAGAAGGTAAATGATGTACAAATGGATGAATTTAAAGCAATATTATCCGATATAAAAACAAAACTGTCTTTTCTTAATCAATTATTGAAGAGTGATGAAGGCACTGCAATGCAGTCAAGTGAAACAGTAGTTACAGCACTCAGAGACAGAATAAATGAATTACCAAAAACAGAGCAAGATGATAATGGAGAAATTTACTACTTCATAAACAAACAGCAAATGACTTCATTAAGACAATGTGATATAGGGACTGTAACAGATTTTAGGGCAGCAGACTGTTTAACATTAGAAGGAGAGGAATTCGTGATCAAAGATCAGACAATTATTGTCAAAATAATCAAAACAGATGAACATGAAATATATGCTAATCAACTGAAGGCAACATGGACACATCCTGCAGGGGAAACCAACATCTCTCAAATTCAGGAAGATGACAATGGAGATTATTTTGTAAAAGGAAAATGCACAAGTCCAGGAGTTTGTAAACTAGATGTGAGTGCTGATGATGAACCAGTTAACCAATCACCAATGATAATCAAAATAGAAGACAGATTAGTAAATACTATTAAAATAAATGCAACATTTATTATAGATGTAGTTAAGTGTGAAGATGACTCCTTACTGGTTTCATGTCGGACAAATGAAATGCTCAAGTACAAGCAATCAGAATATATTGGTAAGGTTACACTACCACAAGGTGTGGGAGTTAACAGAATGTACAAAATGAAGAATGGTAACATAGCATTCAGTGATTACAATGTTAATAAACCTATCAGAATATGCAATATGAATGGTCAGCTGATTAAAACAATTAGTGAGGGAGCAAAGAATACACCACAGAGTTTTCATGTGGATGAGACATCAAATGTTTTGTATGCAGCAGGTGGGTTCAGTAGCTGTGTGTACATGTTTGACATGAATAATGGCAAAACCATCAAAACAATATGGTCATATGGTACAAAAGAAGGTAAAATGAGTTATGTCACTGATGTTACTCTTACTAACCAAGGACACCTTCTTGTATTGGACAATGGCAACAGTAGATTACAATTATTTAATAATGAGGGAAGGTTTATAAAAGTCCTTGTTGAAGCAGGTGATGAGGATGGTAAGGTAAATTCTCCATGTGGAGTAGTAGTTGATGAGGATGACAACATCATTATATCAAGTGAACACAAACTACAGCTATTCAGTAGTGATGGAACTTTCATAAAAAGAATTGATAAACCAGAAGATGGAATCAAATGTCCATGGGGATTATCCATCATTTCATATCATCCAAGGAGAATTGCAGTAGCAAATGATGGTGACAACACAGTAAAAATATTCAATTATTAAATACTGACAGTCCACTTGCTTCACTTGTGTGTTTTCAACAATTCAAATTTATAAGTGTAGGAATATCTACATATCCATTATTTCATATCATCCACATAGAGTTAAGTTATGGATCTTAAACTTAAAATAATTATTCAATACAATAATATCAAAATATAAAGTTGCATAATGTTTATAAACTTGTTAAAATATTTGATTATTGAATATGATATACATAGAGCTGAAGTTATGGTTTTTTTGTAAACTGTTAAAATATTAATTATTCTACATAAATGATATCTATAGAGTTGAAGTTATTAAACAGAAAACAATAATATTTCTATAGACTAAAGTCTCTTATTATTTTATCTATCGAAGAGGCATTTAAAGTTCAGAAACTTGTACTAGGTTTTAAGATTTTAAAAGGTTTTTGTCCTTCATTTTCTCAGTATGTAAATAGTAGTGAAAGATGTAAGGGTAGACTTATACATTGGAATGCAAAGTCTAATACTTTTCTTAATTCTGTTTACGTTATATTCCCACGACTATGGGAACAATTACCAATAGAAATTCAAAATTATCAATTAATTTCATTATTTAAGTCTGCTCTTACAAAATATCTTCTTTCAATGTATTAATTAACTAATTTCAATTTAAAATTTTTAGTATCTAATTTTAAATTTCTTATTTTTATTTTGTGTTCTATGGAGCAAGTACATTGATTGTTTGGGCTTTCGCCTATTGTAATCTGCCAACCTCAACTGTTTACAGTGTAGTTCTCATCAAATTTGAATCACACACTATTGATCTTATGATTTCATATTTTTGTAGTGTAAGTTTTTAATCATATCATGCATAAATGCATGTTATTTTCTTGCATATTGATGTTAAAAATGTTACTTTTCAATCTATTGGGGCTTTTATGTACAGCCTATCAACTTATATCTCTTTGATTTTCATAAATTTTGGTATTTGCAAGCTTGTTTATTCTTTCTTTAGTACCTGTATATTTTTTCTGGTTTTTTTGTATAAAAAAAACCTAATAAGCACACAACAGAGTGTATATTATAAATACACCTATGGGCATTTATCCATTAAATGAATAAGATGCGATGAGTCAGATTGATTATTCTTGTATATATTTAATTTTTCTTATAAACTTGAATCTGCGTAAATAATCTGCTTCAAATTAGTGGGACAGGGATATATTTAAAAGGGGGTTTGTAAGCATTTTATTATTTCATCATCATAAAAAGGAATAAACTGTATATGATTTAGGTAGTTAAGCTTGGCTTATTTTTTTGTATTCATCATAAATCTTAATCTGTATACAACCTAATAAATTTATAGATTTTCATGTACACTTTGACAATAAATTATCTGAATCTGATATGTATGTACAGTATAATTGTTATTACTATATATGATTAACAGTGTAAAAGGTTGTCTCTTATACACATCTACAGAGCCAGATGATAATGGA